GGTGATGATGGTGGTGTTGGTGGTGATGATGATGGTGGTAATGGTGGTGGTGATGGTGGTGTTGGTGGTAATGGTGGTGATGGTGGTGCAGTGGTGATGGTGGTGGTGGTGATGGTGGTGGTGTTGTAGTGGTGGTGGTGGTGTTGGTGGCGATGATGGTGGTGGAGCAGTGAACATCGCTAGCACTGGGGGAGAGACAAAGACGGTCGGGCGTGGTGGTCCTGGTAGCCACCCACCCCCTCTCTGTGTTGCCAGAGTGCCTAACAGCACTTGCCCCTACAGTCTGTTACAGGCTACACGGGGGATCTTTGTCTTTGTAAGGGGGGGGGGGCACAGGTGGGACATCTCCCACTCATCTCACGCAGTCGACCCCTGGGCACCTTCAAGGTCTGTCCCCCCTCGTGACCTCCCCCTGCTGGCGGGGGTTCGACGTTTCACGTGGTAGCCTCGACGCCGTGGTGACATCACCACCACCTAGTGGCGAATGGAGGTTGTTGTTGTTGTGTGTGTTTATGTTGTGTGTCTCTGTGTGTGTCTCTGTGTGTCTCTGTGTGTGTCTCTCTCTGTGTGTCTCTGTGTGTGTCTCTCTCTTTGTGTCTCTGTGTGTGTGTCTATGTTGTGTGTCTCTATATGTGTGTCTCTCTGTGTTGTGTCTCTCTCTCTCTCTCTGTGTCTCTGTGTGTGTCTCTCTCTCTGTGTCTATCTGTGTGTGTCTCTCTCTGTGTCTCTGTGTGTCTCTCTCTGTGTCTATCTGTGTGTCTCTCTCTCTGTGTCTGTGTGTGTGTCTCTCTCTCTGCTTGTGTGTCTGTTTGTGTGTTTGTCTGTGTGTCTCTGTGTGTGTCTCTCTCTGTGTGTCTCTGTGTGTGTCTCTCTCTGCTTGTGTCTGTCTGTGTGTGTCTCTCTGTGTGTCTCTGTGTGTCTCTCTCTGTGTGTCTATGTGTGTGTCTCTCTCTGCTTGTGTGTCTGTGTGTGTCTCTCTTTCTCTGTGTCTCTGTGTGTGCCTCTTTCTGTGTGTCTCTGTGTTTGTCTCTCTCTGCTTGTGTCTGTCTGTGTGTTTCTCTCTGTGTGTCTCTCTCTGTGTTGTGTCTCTCTCTGTGTGTCTCTGTGTGTCTCTGTGTGTGTGTCTCTCTCTGTGTGTCTCTGTGTGTCTATGTGTGTCTCTGTGTGTGTGTCTCTCTCTGTGTGTCTCTGTGTGTGTCTCTGTGTGTGTCTCTCTCTGTGTGTCTCTCTGTGTGTATCTCTCTCTGTGTGTCTCTGTGTGTGTCTCTGTGTGTGTCTCTCTCTGTGTGCCTCTGTGTGTATCTCTCTCTGTGTGTCTCTCTGTGTGTCTCTGTGTGTGTCTCTCTCTGTGTGCCTCTGTGTGTATCTCTCTCTGTGTGTCTCTCTGTGTGTCTCTGTGTGTGTCTCTTTCTGCTTGTGTGTCTGTCTGTGTGTCTTTGTGTCTCTCTCTGTGTGTCTCTGTATGTGTGTCTTTTTCTGTGTCTCTCTCTCTGTGTCTGTCTGTGTGTCTCTCTCTGTGTGTTTCTGTGTTGTCTCTCTCTGTGTGTCTCTGTGTGTGTCTCTCTCTGTGTATGTGTCTGTCTGTGTGTCTCTCTCTGCTTGTGTGTCTGTATGTGTGTCTATCTTTGTGTGTCTCTGTGTGTCTCTCTCTGTGTGTCTATGTGTGTCTCTCTCTGATTGTGTGTCTGTCTGTGTGTCTCTCTCTGTGTCTCTCTCTGTGTGTATATCTCTGTGTGTCTCTGTGTGTGTCTCTCTCTGTGTGTCTCTCTGTGTGTGTGTCTCTCTCTCTCTGCTTGTGTGTCTGTCGGTGTGTCTCCGTGTCTGTGTTTTGTCTCTCTCTCAAATGTAGCAATCTTTGGAAGAATGTAATCAACCAGGTGGGGTGTTCACACGAAATTGATTTTTCCAAGACGGAGGTTACTCTGCAAACCTACCGGCTACCTTCAGAGATTTCTTCGTGAAGCCATCCAGATATAAAAACACAGACACAACTTCAACCGAGAGGACGGACGTCATTAACCAGGTAAAGTCTTAACTGACTGTGATGTTTCCATCCAACCTGCAAATGTCAGCTGTTTTTAAATCCTTTATATTAAGTTCGCTTGCTTGCTTGCTTGCGTGCTTGCTTGCTTGCTTACGACCGTGCAAATCTTTCGGTCGTTTTTTAACCCACTTCCCGTGATCCAATCGAGCTGACATTTTGCACACAGACTCGTTGTGCGAGACAATTAATGTTCGTGAATTTTTTTCCCCAAATGTTACACTGTTTAGGGAAAACAAATTAAATATTTAATTAGCAATTGCTTAATACTGGCAGACAATCATCTGACCCATAGGTGCCAGCCATCTCAAGCCAGAGGACGAGAGGACTCTAGCCGCCACGCATATAAAGGATTTAGAGTGAAACACTTTGTTTTTACGGGTTTACTTGTTTCGACTCTCTGTGTGTGTGTCTCTCTCTATGCCTCTCTCTTAGATCTCTGATGCTCACGTGTCCGTT